TCCGGTCTCCAGCCATTCGCGATGGCAGCCACCCTGCCACCGAGGGGCCATAACCCTGGTGAACCCTGCCGCCCTCGAGGGCCATAACCGCCGTGCTGCCACGGTGAGGGCAGGTGGCCGCGGAAGCCCTTCCCACAGCGCCGGAGCGGGATGCCCAGCCAGGTGGCCCGCCAGGAAGGGTTGCCCCGAGAGAGGAGAGGCGGCTGGGGGGGGTGGGGGCCCCTCGTGATGGTATCCTCTCGGGATGGTGGTGAGCACCTCCACTGGAGCTGGTGGCGGATGCTAGCGGAAAGAGCAGCATCCCTGGATTGGAGGTTGCGCCCAGCTGTCTCAGCTCCCTGTCCAGAAGGGACTTGGCCTCAGTCCCGGAGGAAGGAAGAGGAGCTCCCAGTGAGTCAGCAAGGCCTGGCTTTCGGTCGCTCCTTGTAGGGGCAGTTAAAGCAGCGATGGCAGCTTGCTTATGCCCCCAGCAGGTCTGGCCCTCCGCATCCCTACCTGGGATGCCAGAGGCCTGAGCTTCACTGCCCATCCTGCCCTCTCCTCCCTCCCAGCTCCTGGCCACTATTCCCAAGTGTTTGGTAGTGTGTGTTTGTGCATCTTCTCGGCCACTGGTGGGAAGGATCTCCCCAGGGTAGAGGTTGTCCTCCCGCCATATGGTGACGGCGTGTCTGGCACCATGAGTCCTCACCTCCATCGACAGCGGTGGCACGCCTAAAAAGTAATGAGCATTTAAGCAAGTGACCGGCTGATCGTCTTCTCGTGAGATGGACAAGCCCTTTTTTCCTTGGAGTATATTGTAATGTCTGCTCTGAAACACGGTCACGCTGACTTCTCTTCTCTGGTTTGCAGGAAGCGTTATCAGTGGTGAGTGAAGACCAGTCCTTGTTCGAGTGCGCCTACGGATCGCCCCACCTTGCGAAGACAGAGATGACGGCCTCCTCCTCCAGTGAATATGGGCAGACATCAAAGATGAGTCCACGTGTCCCCCAGCAAGACTGGTTATCGCAGCCCCCAGCCAGAGTCACCATCAAGATGGAGTGTAACCCAAACCAGGTTAACGGGTCAAGGTAATAAGGCCAGTGTTACCGTCGCTCAAGTACACTTTTTGTCGCAATGGTTATAGCTCTGTTGTCTAAATCGGTGAATCTAGCACCATTTTAGATGCCACCAGCTGCTGTCCCAGAAGCCTACAGGTTTCCCGTACATTGTGGGTCACACCTGCCAGCCCCGTTCAGGTGTTACGGAGGGTCTCAAATGGCGCTACAGGCACAGTCTTCTCATGAGCTTCTGCAATACCTTTCTGTGTTTCCTCTGACTGTGGGTAATTTTGGATGTGAACTTGCATTGCACGCTAGGTGAAAGAGCATATATTAAAGTTAGCAAAATGTCAGTTTGCTGTAGTCTGGGGCAGCGCCATTGATCCGTCTAAGGGTGTGGTGTATGTGAGCTAACACTCAATGGAAGTTGTCAAAATGCAGAAATCTGGGCAGTTGCCTTTGCTCTAAATATAACCAAACAGAGAAGAATAGGAAGTAAATTCTTGTAATGGCAGAGGGAGTGAACTATTGATTTTTACTTTTATATTTACTGTAAACATAGTGCCAAAAAGCATAACCATGGTGCTGGACTTAAGACGAGCTCACGCTGAAGAAACAGCACATGTATGGAGGCAAACAGGGGAGTAGAAAGGAACAGGAAAAGAAATTACTCAGCTCAACGGGCAGTAGCCACAGCCTGTCAGTCCATTAATTGTTGTCTCGGGACTTTTTTTGTGAATGTCACTATGGAGGGGAATTGTATTGATTAAGCTGAAAGAGTAATGCAGTGGATTTGTGGATATTGAACTGGTAGCTCTCCCAAGCATAGGAGCACTCTATGGGATTTCTTCCATCTGAAAACTAACAATGAAGATTTTTTTTTTTCAAGGAAACTATACAAACAAGTGCTTTCCTGTTTAAAATGCCTGACTGTCAAAACAGTTTTCCTTTGGTGTTGCTGAAGGGCAGAGATCCAGAGAGTCAGTTGCTCACAATTGTTGGTGATGTACCAGTGAAGACTGTGCTTCACATCTCTGTCACAAACACCTGCCTACTAATCTCATCTTCCAGCATCAGTTGTTTAGAAAAACCTCAGCTATGGGCACTGTGGTTACTGTTCACATTTGCTGTGTTAATGTGATGAGCACCACAAGCAGGGCAAAGTGGTTTGACAGCTTATCACACCTACACTTTTCACTGGTAAGGATGGAAATTGTGCTGAAGTCAAATCAGAATTTCCAGTGAATAGTCAAAGATTTGAGATACGTAGAAACAAACGGTGAACTGAAGTTACAAAGAATTAGGGGAAGTCTTCTTGTAAGCCCACTTACTCAGAACTTATTCACAATCAATTTCAGAGAGTTTTTTTGTTTCTTTTTTTGTACTAAGCAAATGCACAGATATAATCACAAACGGAGTATTGATTCAAAACCAGTTTCACCTGCTTCCTAAAATTACCTCTAAGTATTTGTGCTGGCATTTCTGTAAGAGAACTGATCACAGTTTTTCTCAGTGTAAATTCCATAAAGTGCATTAGAGTAGATAATTAGTGTTGTTACTGAAATTTGTGGTAACAATTTGTAATGTTATACATAACTAAAGTCAGTCATACACAGACTCCTATTTTACCATACTCCAAGATCTTAAGGAAGAGTCTAGATGATACAGATCCATCTGAAATTGTTGGCCTATCACATTTTTAAAATAATCAAGCCAAAATTCTGAATTTGCTCTCTTGGATTCCTGAAATACTTAACTAGCCTGAATATTAGAGCTCAGTTTGTGAATCACAGGTATTTCGCTGTTGCTGTGATGGTTTAAGGACAAAACCGTAGTAATACCATCTTGTATTAGCTAAAACCTTGTCCTGTCTAATCCTTGTTAGCAACCCTGGTAAGGATTATATTCCCATTTAGGAGGTCAGGACCCTTACCAAGACCAAAATGTGCGCCCATAGTCAGATCAGCTAAATCCAGGCAAACCTATATAGTCCGTGGGTGAGAGCACAGTGTAGAAAATGTGCTGTCACACACCAGCATGCCCCAAACAAATAGAGACTGGTAGGAGCCCTGATTTGGGAACACAGACAGCTCCAGGCACTAAAGCACCTGGCTCCTGCAGGGGCTGCCTTGGTCTAGAGAGGGCCGGGCACCCTGAGGCACCCCTGCTATTGTGGGGTGCGTGGGGGGGCAGCTGAGCCGTGCCTTGCTGTCCAGAGAGGCCTGAAAGTGTCGTTGTGGATGGATGTGTGCTTGGGCGTGCAGCTGGGAGAGATTCTGTGCTCAGTGCCTTTGCTTCTCTCCAAGGGGCTGTGCCATCGTTGGATAAAAAGAGAAGTAATGCAGGGAGCGGGGAACCGCAGCGCAGCCGCCAGAGCAAAGCATCCCTGCTGCAGGGGGGAATTAGGCTCCCCGTCTCTCACGTGAACCCACGGTTCACGTGTTGCTGCCTGCCTGGCAGCCCGACTTCAGGAAGCAGGACAGGGTGGGCTTGTGTCCAGCATATTTTACAGCCTGGTGGATGGGGGCATGCACTCAGGTTGGGGGGGCTCGCTGTCCGTATCTCCCATATCTAAGGTATGTTCACCTTGTATATGTGAACTCAGAATACTTTCCAGGGATGGATGAGGATTTAGAAGCCCTGAATTAAACAGGCTGTTTGGACGTATCTTCATAATGCCTATCATTTCTCCTTCCTTTATGCTATTTCCTATCAGTGTGTGCATGCATTGAACGACTTAGGGTGATACTTAGGCTACCTGCACAGTCAATAGACAGGAATTGGCCGCTGGTTTAGGCTACCCGAGTTGCTCTTTGCAAAAAGAGGTATCTGCCTTTCCTTCAGAGGTATCCTGGTCTCCGCACTGGCGGCATAAAATGAATGTGCCTACGGTCTGCACTGTTACTAGCAGAACAGGCATCTACTTTTGCAAGGCTATATAAACTGACCATTGGGAAAATTGTCTTTAAATCAATCTTTTTTGATTAGTCACGAGGCGTAATTTTGATTCATACTTTTCCAGCAGAACTGTTAATTGTTGTAAAGAGGTGGCACCCAGGAGTTGCCAAGGCATCTGGAACCCCAGTGACACACTTTTGCGCCATCCTGACCACTTTTACCACCATTACAGAAGTAAAGAGATGAAAAGAAGAAATTTTGTGTACCTCCTCCCTAAAAAAATAGCATTAGGTCTACCTACTCCATCATTAGGACTTGGAGTTGAGTGCAAATTGTCTGAGCAGCACGTGAAAACTAAGTTCTTCATTTTTCTCTGGACAGCATCACTCAGAGGTGCTTAATGTGACCATCATTAGAAAGTGAACAGCTTTCCTAATATCAACCAGTGGGTGAACTGGCACACGGGCTGTGCTTCCAGAAGAGGCTGTACAAGTTACTGCTCTGAACTGCAAAATGTTTTTGATCAGAACACTGGTTTTCTAAAGGGCACATTCTGGCTGAAAATATAATGGGAAGAAATGTAATTCTTTCTATATTGAATTAAAAACAACCTGCAACATTGGACGCAGGGTTTCATTTCTTAATCTTGGATTTGACAGCCTCCCCTATTGACAGAGCAATGCAGAGTTGCTAACTGGAGAAAACAAGGAAAATTCATACTTCGCTGTGATTCCTAAGACATGACATTATGCTGAAAAATAAACAAAAAAAAAATCACTTACAGACTACCAAAGATAAGAATAGATTAACAGTACAAAAAAAATTTCATGCATGTATTGCATGCTTATATTTAACACAAAAATTTAAAAAATATTATTGTAATTAACATACGGTTTTTATTTCATCAGAAAACTGTTATTTTATAAGGCCTAATACATGCCTGAAAAAACAGATCTTATTATTACACTTTTAATGGAGAGCAAATATTGCCAAGTAACAAATATAAATATGTTATGGCATTTCTAAAACTCATATACATGTGTGCATGTAATATATATAGTGTTAATACTTTGGGAATTGTCATGCTTCCTAGTATGTGATATTCCTGCCAGCTGTAGAAAAAAGTGTGTATCATTCAAGCCTTGCATAAAATGGAATTACTTACCAGTAATATATCATTGATAAATAATCCTAACAAATATTCTGATATATTGATTAGCACTGTCAATACAGAAGTCACTACAGGTCAGTGTGATATACGCATCTCTCTCTAATCTGAAAACCATTTTTTTCCTTCCTGAAGTCCTGCTAGCCCTTTGCCATTTGTATGTTGCTGTTTCATCGGTTTCCTGACAGATTATCTGCTGTTCGTCACATATATAGTATCGATTTATATGTGCAGATCAGTGGTACCCTGTCTTCTGTAGGCTACTTTGCATTTTCTTTTCTGCAGAAGCCTTCCTCACCCTGCTCATTTGCAGTCCATAAATTTATTTCCTTAAATGAAATGCTCATTTCTTAAAAATGCTTCATATGTTAAAAATCAACTCATGCAGTAGCTATAGAGCTTGGAGCTGCTTTTCATTTTTAAGTAAAAGTGTACCTTCTCTGTTTACACCCATTTTAAAATCTGGGTTGTCCCAAAGGAGTCTAAAATATCACAGCCACTCTGCAGAGCCGCGGAAGTGCTACCTCTCCAGGGTATCCTCTGCAATCATCTTCCTATGGGGGAGCCTGGGTCTGAATAATACGGTGTAAAGAGGATGCAAAACAGGGTACCAGACCCCACAAAGTGGTAACCAGAGAATAGTTAGCTTTTTGATTTTTTGCTGTCCGGCTCTCCCTTCTCACTGTGTTAGGCTGCTTCCTGGCCATATATTTTGTCGTCTGGAAGGGGGTATAAAGTTTTAGGAGCATACTAAACCTCTTACACATCAACAATTAAGTATCCACTCAAAGCAGAAATGCACTCACTCTGCTAGGACTCTCCCCAGATATACTTTGGCTGTAATTGCCCTACATTAAATCTCAAAACAAAACAGTCTCAAAACTGGTTTTTTTTCAAAGAAATAACATTAGAATGAAATTAAAGGGTTATTTTCAGTGTGCTGCAGAGAGATTAGCTACACAGT